ATAAATATTTTTGGTCATATCGCCCTGCTCTATTCCAGAGTACTTAAACTAGGCGATCTGTACTATAGTAGTAGGATTACTGCCTAGTCCTATTTAAGCATACTGTGCCCTAGTCCTCTTCTTGAGGTGGGTCTGGGGGTGGTTCAGCTGAACTCAAGCACATTACACTTATATTATCTATCCATGAAGCCAGATAACACTCACCAATTAGACTGTAGGGTTGTCTTAAAGACATAAAGACCTGTATGATCTCTAATTTTCTTCTTCTAAAGTCACATAAAACTGAGGTTATTGTACTTGGCCCTAAAAATCTCAGACATATGATATTTCTAAGATTGTACCAACACTGTCTTAACAACAGTTGCCTCTGTAAGATTGCTGTGTTAAATAGTTAATTAATGTTTTAGGCATGTTTGAGGACAGTATGTCAACTCTTCTAGCATGCTCCAATAAAACCACAGAATCAAAGGCAGACTGAGAGAAAGTGAGGAAACTACAAGATATTTACATGCTGGTTATCCCTTCATTGGAACTGAAGTTGACTGTGTAATGAATGAATAATTGAAGGAGCTCAATACACACAACACAATACACACAATACATGCACTACTGTGTTAGGAAAAGCGACCCTGTTTCTTTGTGCTTTCTGGTCTCATGGGCCCCTCTGACACTGTGGCGCTGTCTGCTTTTCTCAGGTATGGGATGCAATGAATGTACCCATCCATCATGTCAGCACTCTCTCAACTCGTTGGGCATTGGACAATGTGTGGAGTGTGATAGTGGAGTTTTAGTGTTGGACCCCACATCTGGACCAAAGTGGAGGATGGCCTGTAATAAATGCAACGTGGTGGTGCACTTCTTTGAACATGCACACAAAGTGCAGGTAAGAAAATTATTGTCTTACCTACCTATTGTCTTACTTTATTATTGTCTATTATGGACTGGCATATATAGATGTTTTCAAACTGACCACACTCTATACTACAAACAGTAACGTTCAACCTTTCTCACATATTCATACAGCACTTCATTCTATGCACTTACACTCTTTATTGCCATTGTATCCTCACCTACTGCCAAGGTAGAATCGTCATTTCGTAATACCCATGTTGTTTGTCTGTGGGAGAAAGCCCATTGTAAGTACAGAGAGCATGCAACCTGCTCACAGAAAGGTCAAACTGAGATATTTTCAGTTTTTTCCATACAAGCATCTTTGATCTATAGCATTACTGAAACCGAAGAAAGTATGAAACAGTACCCCAGTTCCTTGATTTATTTATTTTTGTTAATGCTTTTTTCTCAGGTTGCTCAGGAGAGCTGTGATGTCTGTGATGCCTCTCTGGTTGCAGTGGACTTTAACAAGACTCGCACTCCTCTTCCTGCCAGTGAGACCCAACACACTGGCTGTGTTTTTTGTGATCCAGTGTTTCAGGATTTGGTGGAGCTCAAGCATGCCACCATGCGGCATTCCATGCATCGTGGTGGGGGTGGGAGAAGAGGAGGACGTGGACGCGGACGTGGACGTCGTGGCAATGCTAAAAAACCTAAAGATAAAATGGCTGCCCTAGCTGCTTATTTTGTATAGTTTCTGTGTGTATAATTGTCCTTTTGCATGTCATTACATAAACTGGTTTTCTTCTGATAATGAATCTATATATGGTAAATGGCCTGTATTTGTATAGCGTTTTACTTAGTCCCTATTGAACCCAAAGCACTTTACACTACTTTCAGTCATCCACCCATTCACACACTGGTGATGGCAAGCTACATTGTAGCCACAGCTGCCCTGGTGCGCGCTGACAGAGGCGAGGCTGCCGGATACTAGCGCCACCGGGCCCTCTGACCACCATCAGTAGGCAACGGGTGAAGTGTCTTGCCCAAGGACACAACGACCGAGACTGTCGGAGCCGGGGCTCGAACCGGCAACCTTCCGATTACAAGACGAACTACCAACTCTTGAGCCCACAATCGCCCCATAAATACACAACAACTTTTTTTTTTTATTAATCATTTTGTTAAGTGCTTTGAGTGGTCAGGTAAAGTTAAAAAAAAAACACTATATAAGAACTAGAACCATTTGTCATTGTTACTAAGCACCTAAAAGACACATGACTTTATTCTATGCACTTTTTATCTATTATTCACACTTAAAGCCACCACAACAACAATCACCTAAAAGCACTTTATATTGTCGGGAAAAGGCCCTAAAATACTACAGAGTATTGTACAGAGAAAACACCACCCCTATGAGGAAATGCTTTTGGCGAAAGAAGAAAAACTCCCTTTTAAAAGGAAGAAACTTCCAGCAGAACCAGGCTGCACCAATAAGGTTAACTAAATTAATCTCAATATTAATTTTAACTTTTTATAAACTGCTACTGGCATTGTAAACAGGCTAACATTTTGTCATTATTTAATCAGCATTCTCCAAAACAATTGTGAAAAAGTTTGTCTATTATTCTTTTAACTAACCAGTTGTTATTTTACATGTAAAATAACAATAACAATTAGTTTAATTACTTGATCTTCATTTAAACTATTTCACTGCAGATTTTCCTCTTTGAAGAATTTTTCACATAAAAGGAAGGTATAATTACAGAATAAAATTATAGCAGTCTTACATTACTAATGTGTTTAAATACTGCTTTTGGCAAAATGATGATACACAACATGGGAACAAATTCATGACTAGGTGTAGCAGAGTAATGGCCAACCAACAGACTTAACACACATGACACGCATGCTGCTAATTGGGGGTAATTGACTCATGTGTTGTGTAATAGCAGTGTGGATTTCAGGTCATTCAAGCTGTGAAGAAATGGGTGTCAATTAAGGCCCTTATTTAAGGAAGGAAGGCAGCAGCTGTTGTACCTGCTGGTTTTAGCCCTTGCTCAGTGAGTAAAATGAGTTGTTCCAGACATTGCAGTGGGGGAGAAAGAACTTTAATCAAAAGTTGATTGGAGAGGGGGAAATAATTGGCTGCTCAGCTAAAAAGATTTCAAATGCTTTGAAATGGGAAAGAAAAAGAAAAAGGAATCTGCCTAGATGATAGAATAACAAGAATGGCAAAGAAGCATCCAATGATCAGCTCCAGAGAGATCAAAGAAGATCTCCATTTACCTGTGAGTACTTTAACAATCAGAGGATCCCTTTGTGAAGCCAAATTATTTCCAAGAAACCTCATAAAAAGTATTGAAAAGGTTACAGTTTGCCAAAGAACACATTGACTGGCCCAAAGAGAAGAGCACAATATTCTATGGACAGATGAAAGCAAGATTGTTCTTATTGGGTCTGAAGATTGCAGACAGTTTGTGAGACGACCCCCAAACACTGAATACAAGCCAAAGTACACTGTGAAGACCGTAAAACAAGGAGGTGCAAGCATAATGATTTGGGGATGTTTCGCATACTTTGGAGTGGGGCCCATTTATCACATAACAGGCACCATGGACCAGTTTCAGTACCTAAAAATACTGGAAGAGTATTTTTAGGTACTTGATCAAAACTTTTAACATATTTTTTCAAACGTAATATAATTTGTTGGTTTGTTTTGTTTTTTGCCTTACGCGGAGAAAGAAATGCCCCTAAAATGGGTGTTTCAGCAGAACAATGACCCCAAACACACCAGCGAGCAGGTAACATCCTGGTTGCAGACCAAAAAGAGCCCAGCCCAATCCCTGGACCTCAATCTGATTGAAAATTTGTGGTGTGACCTCAAAAATTCTGTTTTTGACGCAAAACCCAAGAATACAAAAAATCTGTGGAATTTGGTCCAGTTAGCCTGGGCTGCAACTTCTGTTTGCAGGTGTCAAATGCTAGTTGACTGTAAATATTCCAGTTTGTAAATGAAAATACACACTGCTATTTTTTTTTTTTTTTTTTTGGAACAACCTAATATTTTTAGTAAAAATAAAGAAAAGAAATAATTGTTCATGATTTCATTTGAGATTGAATTTGCATAGCACAACATGGACCTTTTCCTGTTTTTAACACACTGTTATGTTGTACATAACTGTACGTAGGACACCTGGGTCAAGTGATGGATTTTTTGCTTTTGTTAATGCTACAAACTATTTTTTGAGGCTAAATGGAAATCTTCTAAAGCAGCAAGATGCCATTTCCTCTGCAGCTTACACATCATCTGCTTTAAGATGTGCATTAGAGTTATTTCCAGGATGTCAAGTACTTCTGATTTAAGGCTTTTTCAGGAGAGCTACCTTATCCAGAGTAATATGCAGTGAAAATCCTATTAAAAAGACAATCGACTTCTGTGGAAGTAGTTCAGGTAGCTTGCTCTCCACAAAGATAATAACACTGGATTAAGTATATTCTTAATCTTAGTTACAGCACTCTCAATAGGACATCTACTGGGAACTTTCCTCCCTAGATAACACCCAGCACAAACAGCAATAACTTAAATCGAGTTGAATGCTACATCTTATCAAACAAAGTGGACAAGAAAGCAGCTTGGATGTGTTGGCTGGCAGTAGCTCAGGAAGTAGAGCAGATCACCTATTAAATTGAAGGCTGGTGGTTTGACCCCTGTCTGCATCCTTGGGCATGATACTAACCCCAAGTTGCTCTCCAATGCATTTGAGTGTGAATGTTAGAAGCACTTGCACAGCAAAACAAGTGCTTGTGAGAATAAGGCAAGTTGTGTAAAGTGCTGTTCTCAGAGTAGAAAAGCACAATATAAGAACAAGTCCTGAAAAGGGGGGAAATTAAAAGTGTGCAAATGTGTTTCTTATGTCATTTTATTACAAATTATCATTCAATCATTTATTGGAGACAACTATTAAAAGTCAGTGTTTTATAAAAAGCAGTTAAAGTTTAAGCTTTGATCCCATAAATATGCACTGAGGTTTTCATGTTCTGTTAGTGGATTAAAAGATCATTCATCTCTGGCTGCACAGCAGGACTACGAGTACAAGAAGGAAGATCAGTCTTCATCTGCATCATCAAAGGCAACGCCAGTCGCTTGCTGCTTTCTGCAAACACACATGGACAGTGGCTTGTTTTCACTCACATCAGTAGCATCACTGCTCTATTGAAGTCCTGTAAGAGACACCATACTTTTTAACCCCTGGGTTGATGAGTGAGGACCCCGGAAGTCTTCTCTTCATGGTCATTGCTGGAGTGCTGCTCTGCTCCTGCCAGGGCTCAAACTCTAAAGGAGAACAGTTTTGCATTAATGAAAACGTTTAATGTTAATTACCTTATTTAAGCATGACATTTACATGTCTCCTTTTACTGAAAAAGATGGAATACTTCAATGTACATATAAGCACTGGATATAAGATCATTATTGTATTCAGTACTTACCTCAAAATTACCCAACACTAAGAAAATCCCATTTTAAAATCACTTAAAACAGTTTTAATATATTTAGAAGAGATTGCATTACAGCTGAAAATAAATGCTTATTCATTATCATTTGTTATGATGTTAAAGAAAATTTGAGCCTCTTTCAAGATTAAAGTTTATTGTGACTGGTAGTCCACACTTGGTACACAACCCCAACACATCTATGTGTTGGGGTTGTGTACCAGTGGGCCAGTTTCACAAAACATGCAGAACAACTACTCCAGTCAAGGCATAATGGCGAATAAATCTTTGTAGTACAGTCAAAGTGAGTGTTTGAAACTGTTTACAGATGTCCACTGCAACCATTGTTTATTTGGTTTTGTTTTATTTTTTCCCTTACTTCTTCCTCATCATATGAGTTTCCCTTTGGGATGAATAAAGCTTTTCTTATTCATGACGGAGAACAAGGGACACTTCTAATATGATCCACTATTAACAGGTACACCTGTAGCCCAAAAATCTTACTTTCCTTCTGGTAATTTCCATTGTCTTTCCAAAGGATATACCCATTTGACATTTCCCAGGTATTTTGGTTGTAGCAAAAAATTATGGATTTCACAACAGATCACAACATGATCCACTGTACAGCCTCTTGTAATTTAATTTTACACATGAAAATAAAGAGCAGCATCTCCTGATCCAAGCCAACGTCAGCTACCATAACCATAATGGATTACACATACGGGAAGCTTCTGTTGTGGTTTAATCATGTTTCTAACCTGCAGAGTGTCCTGCTTTACATTCCTGACTGAAAGCATGCATCAATGGAATCATTTATGAGCAAACATCCATTAGGTTGTATAGAAAAGTTGGCCACAGCCAGTGTGACATCACATTTAGATTTTGAATCCTTGGTATTGGAGTTTGGCCAATGTCATGGTGGTTATTTGAAGCCAAGAGCCATTTCACAAATGTATACCTGTGGGCCGTCTTTGATAATTTTTCACTGGACTGGCTGAGGGGGGTCCACTTGAGGGCCCACCTGTGAGGGGACATGTTACAGTCAGTACTGATCTAAAGGCAAGTTAGTTTTAATGCTGCATAAAATGAGAGTCACAACTACAAAGTGAATTCACTGTCAAGCTGTGTGAGGCTGTCAGCCATCGTGAACAGCAGCTCCCTCAACTTGTCTGTGGCCTGTGGACCTTCCAGTCTGGACAGGGTTACACTCAGGTCTCCTGGACTGGATCCCAAACGCAGCTCTGCACCAACCTCATGCACGGTAACAGACACATCTCCACTATTGCAGGATGCCCTGAGGAAAATAGAGATATATTCAGCCTCACTTACCTGACCACAGCTTTTTATAGTCCCATGCAAGAAGTGATGCATGCAGGAGTTGACAGTGTGGTCTCACCTGAGTTTTAAGACATAATCCTCTGTAGATTTTAAGGCAAACCGCTGCCCCTGAACACACAGGGAAGACAGAAATTATGACAGTATACTGAGTGAATGAGAAGAAACCCAGAATACTTACAAGGTGCTTCAGGCTGTCCTTAGTGTACTCCACACTCCAGACATTTGCAGCATCTGTCAGACTACAGCACACGATGTTTTAGTGCGCATGTGTGCCTAAACCAGTGGTTCTCAAACTTTTTTTGCTGGGCCCCCCTTGTTTTACAAGAAAAATGTTCGCGCCCCCCCCTCGCGCGCGCGCGCGCACGAACACATCCTCCAACCACACAGACCCATATTTTGCTCCATTGCGGTTTATTTTACACCTCAAACATTTAGTAAACAATTAAGCAAATACAAGTAATCTGCAATAAATTACAGGTAGTAAGAAAATAAACTACTAACTCTTTTACGCTATGTCCACACCTACACGGATATTTTTGAACACGCAGCTGTTTCGTCCACGTAAACGGCGTTTCGAATCACCGAGAACGGAGATTTTTTAAAACTCCTTTTTTGCGGTTACGTGTGGACGAGGAATACAGAGTTCGTCACGCAACGTCAAAGGTATGTGCCTTTTTTCACGTCACGCTGTGTGCACGTTATTGTTTACATGAGATGAATTGCAGAATGGCAGATAGAGACGAAATACTGTTAATCTGACTATCTGCAGGTTTTACACACTTACATATACACACAGTTACTGTCCCTCCATTTAGAAAGGCAGAGGC